TGCCCCTGTACTCGACCGGGACCCACGGCCGCTGCCCAAGCAGCCAGTCTGGAGTTGCCACGCTGCCGGGAAAGCACGTCCTTGGTGAGGGGAGGCGGCCACCGCAGGGATGGCAGGTCCACCGGCCATGAGCTCAGGTGAGATGTGTGAGATGGGTGCCTCCTCGCCAGCGCACTGGCCAGGCGGGCGCGGGCAGAAAGGAGAGCCCCAGCCAGGGCTCCGCCAGGCAGAGTCCAGCTGGCCTGGTCCACCACCCTTGCCCCCACTTTGGAGGCGAGGAGGGCAGGCGAGTGCCCTGTGCAGTTCCTCGCTGGGGCTCACTCTCTCCGCAACGGAACGCCTGCCTACACACAGTATCATTGTAAATAAAGTAATGAGGACGGTTGCGCTGCCACGACCATCCTCTTTACCCCCTGGATCTTCATTTTTACCCCATTTGGGGTAATTTACCCCTGTTCCCTGACCACTGTTTTAAATCAACCCTCAAGCATTCTCACAGAGACAGACACACCACTGAAATGTAAGGTGACCTGTCAATACTATCACCTTAGGGCAGACCTGGGCAAAGTGCAGCCCGAGGGCCACATATGGCCCACGAGCCGCTCCTGTCTGGCCCGCGGACAGTTTTGAACATCAAAACCATTTATAGCTTTTTGTCTGAAGTTGATCAGTTGCTTATCTTTAACATACTGCAAAAAACCCTCTTTAGTATTTGTGAAGATTAACAAGTTTAAAATAAAAACGATCATAACATCACTGTTTCATTTTATTTTTAAATAAAGTTGGTTCGGCTCCCGAACACAGTTCAGATTTTACATGTGGCCCCCCTATAGAAATTAATTGCCCACAGGGAGGGATGAGACTTCTAAACAACAACAAAATAAGGGAGTACAGAAACAGCATGTAAAATTCTAAAGGATTTCAGAATACCCTTTTTTCAGAGATGCTGGTAGGTCAAAGTCTCAAGTCCCAAGACTCAAGTCTGGGTCCCTTTTAAAAACAAGCTTTTCCCCCAGAAAAAAAGGGAGGGATGAGTGGGTTCTGAGTCACTGAAGAAAACAAATCTGAGTCAAGTCCAAGTCAAGTCACCTGCGTGACCCAAGTCCAACTTGACAGGGAGTCCCACAACTCGAGTTCCCATCTTTGACTTTCCTCACAAAATGAAACTCGATCTGCTTAGAAGTGGATGAGCCTTTAGGGGATTAGGGCTTCTTCGTTTCCCTTTTTACAGGGCAAGTTCTTATGACTTCCTATTCTGGTTGGAAACCAAACTGGAAAGCTTATTTCTAGGCAAGACTGCCATCTTGGGGAAGTCCACCATGATGGACTTTCCCTGGCAGAACTGTGGTGGGCGAGACAAGCCCTTTCCCCGCTGCAGCCTCCTGTATGCCTCCAGCACTAGCTGAGGAGGACTGAAACCTCCCCCTGGAACTGATTTTGGGGCATCACAGAGCTGTGGGGGAGAGGGATGAGGAAGGGGAAGGAAACGATGCGATACTTACATTGCAGCGCTACAGGGGTGTTGGATTTAGCTCTTAGTTGGGATGCTCCCGTGAGACCGACAACCAAAAAAGACAAGAGCCCTGACAATGGGACCCTTGTGTCTCTCTGTCTGAGACACAAGAATTCATGACATGAAGTATGCCTGTTGATTAGAGAGAAGCTCTAATCATCTGGGAGGAGATGACAGAGGAAGACGATACAGGGAAAGGATGTAAGATAGAGGAAGGGGCAAAGAAGAGGAGTGAGAGGCAACCCCTAGAGGAAGAGAAGGGAAATACAGGGAGAGAGAAAAAGACAAGCGTGAGCTGTAAAGACGCACTACTAAGGCGAATTAGTTTCAAAGCACATGTTTAACTCACTTTTTCCAGCTCAAACCAATTAAGATGTATAAGGGGTTTTAACTCTAGCTGCACTCTTCAGTACAGGTTTTCTCCAGTACAGCCACTGGTGGTTCTATTTTTCTGTCTGGTGTGTTTTTAGACTGATCATTAATTTACCGGGACTTTAACTGCCATGCTTTTATTCTGGATTGCAAGCCATCTTGATGCTCAGGCAGTAGAAAAACAAGTGTGGATATTTTAAAATCATCGACATTATATATTTTTTTTAAAAAATGCAAAAATATACTTAAACCTAGTAAGTCAGATACAGTATACTTCAGAATGCTGTTTAATAACACAAATTCAAAGAATTTGCCATATAAAATCCAGCAAAATGTAACAATTTCAGTTCTTTTAGGATTGTTGAAGTTATTCTTGTGACGTTGAGTGCATGTACCAACAGTCTCCTAAATGCCAGAAATGAGAATGAGAATCACAGTGCAGAAGGAAGTATTTGAAATACAGGAGCTACCGTTTCCCCGAAAATACGACAGGGTCTTATATTAATTTTTGCTCCAAATAACGCATTAGGGCTTATTTTCAGGGGACGTTTTATTTTTTTTTCATGTACAACAATCTACATTTTTTTCAAATACAGTCATGTCATCTTCTGGTTGCTGCACAATGGTGGAGGGTGGGCTTTCACTTAACTGGGGCTTATTTTTGGAGTAGGGTTTATATTACGAGCTTCCTGAAAAATCATACTAGGGCTTATTTTCAGGTTAGGTCATTTTCTTATAATAACTGCTCATTATGTGGATCAGGTCCCCCTTTGTCTTGCTGGATTACAACATGGACCAACACTCAGACAGAAGCAAAAACTATTTCACTTCACACTTGCAGGATGAGAGGAGGGAGTGAACATCCCATTTTCCAAGCCAGTAAATAGCTTTCCCCTCTTAACTAAGCTCAGAGCACTGCATACATTTTGGCAAGAAGAACTGGCTAAAAGAAAGGTTACATTTTGACTGAAAGCTTCAGTCACTTAATACACGGAAAGAATACTGACAATCCCTTAGATAGATCTGACATAGGCCTAATTTGCCACTCTCTTAACCAAAGGGGGTTAGACTAAATATGATGTTAATTGTCTATCTTTAGAAAGACAACATCTGGACCACAAGAGTTGGAGGAGTAAAGATTACTCCTTCCTTCATATTTAGGATGAAAGCATCTTTCCTTCTGTGAAAGCTTCCATCTGCATGAACTTGTGATTTCTGAGACAACCAATGCTGTGTTAAATCTATGTGTTAAATTATCCCGTTCCAGCATTGCTTTCCCAGCTCAGCTGACTCCAGTTGCTTTTAGAAAATGTGAACATGATTTGCCTAATGTTGCATTTGCCCCGAAGAAACAGGACCTAGACCTAGAGTCATGTACTCATTTATGAATTCCTTCCTCCTTAACAGTATTCGCCATTATTCTTAAAGAATTCTGTGTTATTCTATTCAAAATGAGCTCACAGACTCACAAGACTGACTGTGTACCACTTTATCCAAAGTAGTACATAATGTAAGAAGATAAAAGGAGCATGACAGAATGCCAAAGCATGCAGTACATATATATATCTGCTCCACACTGTTTTGCTGCTTTTCATTCTTCTATCACTATGTGGCACGGGAGGGGGGGGCTTCTTCACAATCTGGAGCGAGCATAAGTGCATCACTTAATTGAAATGTGATGAATGAAAAACTTCATATGCACGAGATAAGAATTGTGCTGTTCGGTTACACAATGTTAGTTGACTTTGGGTCAAAATATGAGCCACTTCAGGCATAGAGGGCTTCGTGCAAATCTCAAGTTGTTTAGATATGTTAGAGATTATACTGTATCTTAAGAGGCAAAACAGGTGGGATTGATACCACTTTATCCACAGATGTTTCAATCGTTTTACAGAACCTATCTGAACTTCCAGTGAAAATGTAATCGGTAGTAGGCAAAGAACGCACCAAAATGGAGGAAAATGAGTTTTGAAAAGTATTCACTACAGGCAGGTTGCATAAGGGTAGCTTCAACCAAAGCAAACTCCTGCTTTTATGATATATCAGAGTGATTTGTGATACCTTAAAACAGCAAGGGACGAATAACAATGTAACACCAAAAGATCAGGCGGTAATGTTCACTTTCCACAAAGTCAGGTGCAAACAATTTCATGCTTGTAATATTGCAGTGATTCAGAAATATTTAAATTGTGCATGTACTGGGAGGTGGGGGCAGGGTGGACGGAGGATACATACAACTTTGGAAAAGTCGCCTGCCACATATTCTACAGACAATTCTCTCAGTTTTACGTGAGACATCAGTCACTTCCTCATACTGACACCTAAACCTCCCAGGTCAGCATTTTTGGGAATAACCACAGCAGTTTTCCTCTACAAAAGACCAAGCACTTGAAAAACTGAATCATTCTGCCCAGGCTGCAGGCTTGCTGAAGTCCAAGTGATGTTAGCCTCCTGGAATGAATTCAATGTGCTGATAAAAAGAAAGGCAGCGGACCCACCTTATTTAGTATGGTATGTGCACTTACTGTACATTTACTCATTGCTTACAAACAAAAGTTTTCACATGGCATTGTGACAAACCTGAATAACATTTCCCCCCCTTTCCCAGCATATCACAATGACTTTAGAAAAGAAATGTAAGTCAATCAAATCCAGAGACACAGAATTTTGAAAATGAAAATCCTAAATGAAAATAACACAGGGTACTGCCTACTGTTCTGAACAAATAGAAAGCTTAGATCATCTGAACATCACACTAAACTGGCATGCCTTTTAAAAAACGACTAGTCAATATACTGAACGATTTCCCTTCAATTTCATAAACATTCTAAGTAGAGTATCCAATGCAGCAAGCTTTCTTCAACCATAGCCTATGAAAATGGAGAGGAGCAGGAATCAGCAAAATTTTTAGATAGGCAGTCCATGCACATATAGTCTGCTGAAATCTAGAGCTGATTCATATGAACAATTTCATTAGCTATATAGGGATCAGGATAGCAGCTGAACCAAAATTATAGTATCTGGCATCTAGAAAGAAATGTTTGATAAGCAGCCATCTGTTGGAGGTGATTTTGCTAATAAAGTATTCTTTTAATGGAAGTTTTTTTAAAGTTACCTGGAGACTTTTTACTTGCTCTTGATTGCATCAAGTAGGCATGACGAGGCAGTAAAGGTGATGATGGCAAAGACATTGAAACTCCTTTGGTAAGATTCATTCTATAGACATCTTCAGGTACAGGCTGGATACCACTGGGAAAATCTGCACTGTGGCCAGATGTGGCAATTATCTGTAGTGCACTTTCTGAACATGAATCACCTATACAAAAGAAGGTTGAGGGGATTAACTTATAGAGCAAACAAATGGAAGTATTTACTGCATAGTTCAGCAAAGATGTATGAAAAACCAATGAAGGAATGAATTCCCTTATGTAAGTTTTTGCTGTGGTAGCAAAACAAACAACACAAGATTGATTTTACTGCCATAGACAGGTTGGAGAAAATAAAAAGACGAGCAGAACAAACTTTGTTTCATGTCATAAGATCTAAGAAAATGATCACTTCTTGGTTGCTTTGTGCTGAAGTCACACTATTATGCCAGTTTTAAGACCTTGAGTCCTTGAATGCTTGACAAGAGATTGCTTTGTGTCAAAAATAGCTGTGAGAAGGAAAATAGTGAGTTGCTGTTCCATGTTTCCTGCTGGGAAATGGGATACAAGGCCAAAAACAAAACAATGAATAACCTTTCTGACCTTTCCACTTAAAACATCTACATCACAGACTCCCTTGACCTATTGGACTAGTCTCTCAACAGATGATGTCCTTGAAATTCACTGTCTAGCCAACAGAGCAGAAACAACTGAATCAAGGGAACCCCTTTTTGTATAAAGAATTCGAATGCATTTTTTATTAGCCAATGACTCAAATTCTAGATACTTTTGATATTTCATTTTCCTCCAAGTAAATATGTATACGATTGGGCCATAGATCACTCATCATTATGAATTTAAAAATCAGCTTATGTAAGAAAGAGAGAGAGGAGGAGGAGGAGGAGAGATAGGGAGGTTAAGTAGAGTGTGTGCTGCTTTTTGCTATGTGCCAGCAAGTTCCTTCGACTTATTGCAACCCTCTGAATCAGTGATTTCAAAACAGAATAATATAGAGAAGACTGTCATCAACTGCCCCAGCTCAGGCCTTCCAAATGCAAGACCGTGGCTTCCTTTGTTGAGTCAGTCCATCTTAGAGTCCATCTTCCTCTTGTGTTCAACTTCCAGCGAATTTGATCTCTGGTGAGTGAGGATGAAAACAGAACATGTCAGTAAAGAGTGTGTGATTTGCTGAAACAAGTCCTTGATAAAATATTGATCTATGAACTGAGGGTCTGAAAAATCCCCTTATGCCTAAACAGATAAAAATAGCAAACTTTTTTTAAAAAATGAATAAATAGAGACCTCTACTTACAATAATACCATCTTACGTCTTTGTTTTTCACAGTTCCTTCAGCATCCCTCCAAAGAGTGCAGAAGAAGAAGAAGAAGAAGAAGAAGAAGAAGAAGAAGAAGAAGAAGAAGAAGACAGGCAAGGTCTTCAAATCCACCTGGGAGAGGGGCACAATGTCATCACTATACTTTTCAGGCAAACACGTAAAACCATCCCGTTTGCTCTCCTTCTTACTCCAGGCACTTTATCCACAACATAATTTTCCTTGCTATTAACAGGCAAATGGTACATACGAATGACTAACTCCTCATTGGCTTTGAGGATTATTTTTTGTTTGTGTGTGGGGTGGTCTTCTCCATTTCTGTTGGGGGCATTTGGTTTGGGAGAACCTGTTGCCAGCAACATTAAAATGTTAGATTTCCCCACTGATACTTGTAGACAATTCTAACCTCTTGTAGCAGGGAAGAATGCAAAATATCTCTCCAGTGTGAATCAGAGAATCGCCAATCCACACTGTAAGATGGGTCCATCTATCATTTTTATATCTATCTTTCTGTACCTCTTGTCTTATCCTTTCAGAACTCTATTCGATTCCCAGGAGCCCTCAAGCTGTCTGTCAAGAGATTTCCCCCCCCCCACTTCATATACACACTCCATGTCACAGAGTTCTTAAGGGATGTAGTACAAAGAGAATGATAAAAGGAATCCCAGATGCCACAACCAAAGCTTTCTCTCACAAACTCCTTCAGTTAAGTTTAGCTTCTCTGTGCCATTCTATTGCTAATAATTATCACTGCAAACCCAGCCAATTAATGAAGGTACTTAGTTATCGTGGTCAACATGCTGAGTATCCTCTTGTAGTGCTTTACTGGCACAACAGCAATAACATCATCAGTAACTGTGAATGAAAGAGTTCCTTTTCTGATTTTGGGTTGAGCGTGACTTTGCGTCACTGCACTTAAGTCACAAACATCCTGAAAAGGGAGCTCCTTAATCACTGTCAATCTGCTGCTGCCAGTAATGTCATTCCTGTTATGTTAGTAAAGCTGAGCAAGAGTATACTGGCCATTAAAAACATTCCTAAACTAACTGAGTTTAGTAACTTCAAGATGTCAATCACCATAAATTGAGAAGATGTTTGTGGTGTATTAGGTAGGATGAAAAGTAAACCTTTCCAGGATATAGGCAAGAAGGAGAGACACATTATGAACTGTTACCATCAAAAATTAGAGTAAACCTGAACAACACTAAAACAATCATAATGCCAAACTGTAAATAAAATTCCTTAAGAATTTAAAGAACATACAGTATTTGCATTATTGAGTTCAACTGATCACAAACCAGAAGAACTGGGGGACTGAAACCAGAAATATAACCAGGGGATCATGCAGAAACATAATGCCTGTAGCCAAGATAAAAGCTTCAAAGGGTGGCTAATGAAACTCTTGAGATTGTTAAACAGCAGATGACAGTGAATCGTAAAAGTGTCAGAAATAAGCAACCGTCCAGAAATTTGCACTTAGGGATAAGGGAAACTATCATGATAATAACTGCAAAGAAGCAGAAGAAGACAAGTTTCTGCTCTAATAGCCTTTAATCATCTTTTGACAGGTAGGAGGGAAAAACAGCTGTTGTAAAGGCAATCTGGGTTGGTAAATATGAAGCAACAGGCTGTGGAGACAGGCATCAGGTGCCTGATTCCTCAGTGTACTTGGTAGGAGAAATGGCAGCCTGTGTGGTCTGAGACAATCTGCACAGCATCAGAACATTCCCAGAAGAAGGGAAGGCTAAGCCACTGAGTGCTCTACACCTAGAAAACCCTGGAAAGAGCCACCATAATTTGGAATAGGCCTGACGCCACATAATTATTACTGTATTTTTACAGCTGGTCCCAAGGGTAAAGCACTCTAGATACAGAAAATAATCTCCAGATATACCGTTCAGTACCATTTCTCCAGAAACAACCGTATATCGCACAAACTGATGACAGAGCAGTCCTACAATCCCCGCCTACAGCTGCCAAGGTCTAGAAGCTACTGTAAATGTCTTCTTTGTGATTATCACTGACTTTGTGGACACAAACAACTTAGTTCAACAAACAGTTCATATGTGTTTTGCTTCCTGGACAGTTCTCTGTAGCAAGGGAGTAGAATTATAAACAATTCTCTCAAGAGAATGACATAACCTTACCCCTGAACAGTTCACACATAAATGTTGCATGAACTGGGCCCTCTTCACCCATTCCTGGACAGACTCTGTCTAAGTTTATCCTCCTTAAAAAAGCAAACATACAGCAAAAATTAAGAACATTCCAATACCTTTATCTGGTGAGTATGACCCTGCTAGGGAGGAAGTAGGTAACTGTATATCTTTCTGTACATAGCAATCCAGCAACAAAAAAAAAGCCTGCTTCTGAAAAATGCATACAAAAATACCAAACACTGTTCCCTTCTATTTGATTGCTTTGCTTTCATCTGCTTTGATCTAAAACCAACAAGCAGTGGCAAATGAACATGTAGCAAGATTGTGCAGCTATGCTTGAAAGCTAGCTGTTCCAAAGGAGATCACTCAGTTTGAACCACTGCACAGGCAAAAATCTAACTGTTCAATTGCGGTTCTTAAAAAAGAATGAAAGGAAAAGGGAGAAGTCTTTGGGAATGCTTTCATTTTCTCCTCTATACTTCTCTTCTGAGGGAATCAGAATCACTTTGGTAAAATGCTGACCATCACAACACTATATCTGAGCACTTTTCTGCGACGTACATATAGCGAGAATGGGAACCACTGTAATACTCATGGGCTGAAAACGTCTTATGTAAGCTACACCTGTGGAAGGAGGTCACCAGTAGGGAGAGATTTTCAGTAAGTAAAGACTTCCTCCTCGTTTCCCACAACTCATGAGTAGACATGGGGACAAATATAAAAACAAATCAGGATATTCAACAAATATCCTTGATTCATCAGATATTTGTTGCTTCATATTCTTGGAGTCCAGAGACCCCAATGAATACAAAGCAACAAATATAACCATTTTATATTTGTTGCTTCATTCCCTTTCTGCTTATACCCCCACAGATCAGCTGTTCCTCGGGGGTGTAAGCAGAGAGGGATTTTCCCTTCCAGCGTCTTGCTAAAGCCTGCCCAGAAGGGAAACCCACCCCCGGGTCTGGATTGGGCTTTCCCCCTCTTTCTATGCCCAGCAGCAGCATAGAGAGAGGGGGAAAGGGATCCAAGCAATTGCCTGGCTCCATTGCCTTTGCAAAGGCAGTGGGGCTGGGCAATGGCTTGGATCGGGTTTCCCCCCTCTTTCTGTGCCTGGCGGCGGCATAGGGAGAGGGAGAAAGGGATCAAAGCGATCCCCCAGCTCAGCTGGCTTTCCCTTCCCAATCTGAAACCAATTCAAGTGTCTAGCATTTCACCCATGTATAGCTTGGTTTATTTTATGATGCAATCAGGGGAGGGAAACTTTGAAATGCCTCAGTGTCCAATGGGGCCAAACTCTAGTTTTCTGCCAAATGCCTCAATGCCCGCTGGGCGCTAACTCTGCTTCGCTGCCAAATATGATACCACTGAAGACAAACTCTACCTCAATGCCTCATGCCTCTCTGTGCCTGCTGGTGACAAACTAAATTACCTCAGTGCCAAAGGTCTCTCATTCTGCTGAGACCAAATCAAACTCCTTCAATGCCATCTGCTCCTGTGCCGCATGGTAAACTCACCAAACTTGGCAGGCTTGTTGGGGAAAGACATAGGAAGGTTCTGTATAATTTAAGATTCTCTAAGTACCTGGGGGGGAACATAGGAAGGTTCTGTATAATTTAAGGTTCTCTAAGTACCTGGGGGGGGACTTTCCTGGGGGTGTCCTCCTTGTGACTATAT